TTATATTATATTATATTATATTATATTATATTATATTATACTATATTATATATAATACATCAAACACAATTCTTCTTTATATTTATTAAACATAAAAATCCGTTGTCTAATAAGAGTTTAAATTATCGATGATTTTTCATCAAAATGTACAAATGTACTGCATTTCTCGATCTTCTTTACGTTATTTCAAGAATCCGGCACGTTAATGCGTAAACCATGACGAAACCGTGACGTCTTCGCTGGTATGAATCACGTTTTTTGAGAGCGCGAACGATCGTAAAGTAAAAGTAAATTTCCAAAGGTCAGAAATAATACGTTTTCTACGAAGCAATTTTTAAGAAAGAAAGAGGAACAAGAAATAGAGAGGAGAGGAACGATATTTTCGATACACGTTGTTGCATTCACTTTATATGGTATCGATTTAACTTGGCTCCTAGACGGCTCGAGACCGCATAATTGATTACGGTTCTTTGGAATATCGTTAATATTAACGAAGTGGTAACAGTCAGCTGATAATTTTAGACGTGTTAGAAAGAAAGAGTGTAAGAATTTAGTTAATCTGATGAATTAATTAACTTTGAGATTTCTTATTTAATTTATATCAGCTTATTTTATTGTCAATCTGTAACAAAATTTGGAATCAAATCACTTAATTCTGAGGGTTTTCTCGTTCAATTCTACTTGACTGTGAGTCAAATTTCACTGAATTTTGAAACTTTTCGTTTAACTTTATTCTGCTTTCAATCTACGCCACATGATGAAATTTAAAATTAAAGCGGCGATATTTGGAACTTTTCGTTTAATTTTATTTCGTTATTAGTCCATCCGGCGTAATGAAATTTACGATTAAATCACTGAATTTTGAGAATTTTTCGTTCAATTTTATTTCGTCATTAATCCATGCACTACAATGAAATTTGAGTATTTCTGAGGTTTGGAATTTCCCATTTAATTTCAATTTATTATTACTCTACACTGCGATAAAGTTTGTCTAGTCTGTTGAGTGAAGTTAATTTTCGGGATTTTTTCATTTAATTTCACTTCATCGTTAATTTCTATCGTGAAGAAGGTAAAATTTAATACCTACAGTTTTATTAAACTAACGTCACTGAATTATTATAATTTTTTGTGCATTTACAGGAAATTTGAAAGTGTCAAATATGAAAAAATACATAAATTATCCAAACTGTGGCGCTAACTATAATTTTTCTTCGAAGTTTTATAAAATATGAATTTTCATAAAAAGTTTACAATTTATAGATAGTTACAATAATTTAACTACACATTCACATTATTAATATGTGATAGGTCACTAAAATTTTTTTATTATTTTTGTATTTTAAAATTTTTTTACTATTTCTTCATTATTTTATTAAAATAAATAAACGTTATATAAAACATGTATATAAATGCAGTATTTAAATGACCATTGTTAATGACTATTATTATACAAAGTACAGTTTAGAAACGTCTCGTTTACTAAAATTTTAATTTCATTTAATTTAACGACCGAGTAATATTGTTTATATGCTAAATTTAATCTAATAAATAATATTGTTTAAACGTTAGTATAAAATTCACAGTTCTAGCCGTTTATAATCAAACGATGTTGGTTCAGAGTTAAGTGCCAGTCGCCTCCTAATCAAACTGACTAACTAACTTTTCAATTTAATCTGTTTAAGTTTCCAATCCAGCTTATCTGTCTTCTCGTTTTCTGCGTCTGTCATTTTATTGCCTATCACACTTATCTACCAGTTAATCATCACAAAACTCCTACTCCAATAAACTATCATCATGACACTGCAAGAATAAGGTAACTTTCTTGAGTCGTGTCATTTTTCTTCCTTTCTTTTTTTCTTTTTTTGTTGTGATCTTCCATCTTGCGACTCACTGAGCCATTACTGAACTTGGAATTTTTATACATTTGTAAAAAATCAGAATGGCAAAGACACATAAAATAAATATAAAAGAACACGTAAAATATCCAAAGTACACGATGCTCCAATTTTCGTGGTTTACAATTGCCATGAAGATGATTCCAAAGAAGACGATGCAAAAAACAAGCGAAAATTTTTCATATAAGATATACGTGGTCTTGATTGTCGAGTATGGAAATTCTTTTATAGTTGAATTTGATTGATCTCTAGTACTGGACATAAACGAACAATCGACACAAGGATATTCTAGAAGAGGCAGCGAGAAATGTAGAGTAAAATTTTTTATAGGATTAAGAAGATAGAAACTTTGTATAGAATTAAATTTTTTCGTTTTCAAGAAAACAGACCTTTGTTTAAGAATTGCATTGCCAATGGCTTTTCAAACTCAACTTTTCGAATATATGTATAGTGTTAATATATTATATTTCAATATAATATAAATATAAAAATATATTTAATATAATATAAAAATATAAATATAAAATATATAATATAAATATAAAAATATAATACAATATAGTAATAAAATAATTTTTTAATTATTATTTAATTAATAAAATAAAATATAATATAATATATAATTATTTATATTATATAAAATATAATACATATATTAATATATTATAGTACATAATATAAATATAAAAATATATATATATATATAAAATATAAAATATAAATATATATATATATTAAATTTAATTTATTACCATGAAAATTCGTATTTAAAATCCATTTTATTAGAAACAAAACTTTATATTAAAAACACATACATATATTATATTGTACTATATGTGTATTGTAATATACACTGTAAAAATATTAAAACATTTATCTTTAAAATTAGTACAAGATCATTAATTTTGTCAAAATTAGTACAAGATCATTAATTTTACAAACACAGTAAGGAACAGAACTGAACTTGAATAACGATGAAAAACTGTCGATAAACTTATAATTTCGTTAAAAAATCTATTTGGTATCACTTTGAAACGTAGATCCTCTATTCTCATAATTGTGAATTCGTTTTTTTTTTTAATGCTTCTGTCATTGTGACGATGCATTGAGAATTCTCGAAAATTCTCAAAATCGTAAAACAACGTCCGATCCTAACATTCAAGGTCGAATGAAATGAAAAAAATGTCGAACAATACGAGTTTCAAGGGATCGTTGTAAAGAAAAAGTCTTAATCTTCGAGATTACGGCGATTCTGGTCGTGGAAAAAATTGTTTCATGTTTCCAGAGACGTTCGAATTGTGACGATTTTCGAGAATAAAACTTCAGCCTCACACCCGTTGTATAACGTAAAATAATTTGCAAGAAAGGAAAGGAAAACGAACGAACTCAGAACTGGCAAAGTAGAGGCTTCACTCTTTAACACGAGACCAAGTAGGTTACTATATGATTTTTCTTTACGAAGTTATATAAAAGTTTCAAATATCGAAGCAATTTTTCTTTGAAAGTTGCTTTCTTAGGTAAGCTAGTACTCGATAAATTTTGAGATTGAATTTTGCCTCTTTTTTTTTCTTAAATAAAGCGAAAATACTACTCTACACAATTCACTTATTTTATTTTCGCAAGTAGAATCATCTTCCATCGATTATTTACACCTGTTCTCACCTATTCAGTTCTGTTCGTTTGATAAACGTTCGAGCACGATTTTCTCGAAAATGGAGCATCGTCATTCGAAGAAATAGTTTTGCGTGTTTTCGACTTATATTTCCTCTCTCCTTTTTGTTTTACAGTCTGACTACATTATTTTATATTTTCGATTACATCGTGAGAACTGTCTGCGCACACTCTCTGTAAAAGTCTAGTACGTGCGTGAAAACAATTTTCAACCGAGATTCCAGTCCTTTTTATCAGACTCTCTCTCTCTCAAAAAAAAAAAAAAAAAAAAAAAAAAAAAGAAATGCGAGCTCGCGTAAAAATTCGCAGTCTAGTGATCGCCCAAGCACTTGACGAACCTTTTGAAAAACTAGGAAAAGAAAAAAACGAAGGCGAGACGGAAATGCCAAAGCGACAACGGAGATTAACGCTGGAAACTACTTTTCCAAGCAATTTTTATAATAGAGAAATTTCAATTCACAGATTTACAATGACACAGTTTTTCTTTTCTTGGATATAATTACACCATCGAGAGTATGAATCTCCATAAAATACTATCGAGAATGGGATTCGTGGTTTTTCGTGGATCTTGAAAATTAGATTACGTTCTTAGAAATACGAATTGACATAAAAATCCGTGACTCCTTAAAGAAATTTTATGGACTTGCAACGATATATCTTTGAAAATTTACAGTTACACTCTTAGAAAAGTAAAAATTTTCAGTACGAATTGTATTTTAAAAGGATTTGCAATTTCGTAGACTCGATTGTATTCTCAAAAATACGAATTGAACAGTACGTAATTTTTTACAGAAGTTTCACGAGACGACGTTTTAATTTTTAAAAATTGAAATTTACACAGAAACCCGTGACGTTCTTTTACTTTCTTTATAAAAGTTTCATGCGTTCGCGGGTGCATTCTTAAAAAATCCAACTGCATTCTTAAAAAATATATAAACACGCACAAAAGAGAACTTGCTTGTCTAGATTCGTACGTTTGCAACTTAATTATTCTTAAAAATAAAAATACTCGCGTTGTTATGCATTTCTCTCATACAACATCTCTTATACAAATTGTGTAGATTTCAATTTTCAAAAACACCTGCCAATTGTTCGCGTCAACTGTGAATTCGTGAAATCACAAATTGTTGAGGGCTCTCGTGAAAATTCATACTTTTAAGGGACACAGAAAGTGTAAATTCTAATTACATTCTCAAAGAGTTACTTGCGAAAATTTCAACGACACACATTATTCAAACAACACCTCAGCCAACTTCTCCCGATTTTTCACGCAGATTTGCCCCAATCTGCTTCTACACTTTGATCGTCGTCGGTTCTGGCGTTAACGCCTCTCTGTCAGCTCGTCTGTCAGCGCGCGGCGACCTTCGTCCCGCCAAAACGTTATTCGGCGAATAACGCACACTCGCACGCGAAGTATAAAAATGGAGCACTTACCTGGGAGATTAGAAAAGTATCTGATGGTGGCTCGAGGTCCTCTCGTCGCAGATAAAAATCTGTCCCCAGTGACGAACGAAAGCGAATCGAGAAGAGACGGGTAACAAGTAGTTCCTCGTCGCCTTTCCTTTTTTTTTTTTTTTTTTGTTTTTTGACGGAGGCAACAGCAACTTCCGGTGCTTCGCAGGACGCGACGTAGCCGATTGGATCGTTGGAACGTGGCTCGATTCGACGAGGCGGCCGAAACTGTTTCCAGCAGGGTATAACAGGTGGTACGAGCGGAGTTCCTCACCGTGCAGAGTGCTAACGACGTGTGACGTCGACTCGGTGCGAGAGAGCTTATATAGTAGCCGGCCGTGCCGACTCGACTACGGCTCGACACGGCCTGCTGCCGCGGAGAGCAACCTCGTCGTCGGCCCTACAAACCGATTTTTTTCTCCCTTCCTCGCTCGTTTTCCACCCTCTACGGACTACGTACTGGCACCTCGGCGCTCCTACGTGCTCTCGATTTCGATCCACCATCGATCGGGATTCAGGTGGCACTGGAATTCGTAAACAGAGATTGTGCTCGATAGCGATCAATAATGTTGTATACAATGGGCTGGGCATTGGATTGATTTTACATTTTGTTTGATATTTTAATTATAGAGAGTGTTATTGTTATTATTTTATATTTCATTGTAGTATAGTATGATATATAATATAGTATAGCATAATATTAGCATACTATATAAGGTGGTACAGGATTTCACATGAATTTTAAAATTTTTATGAACATCACTAAATTGTTAATTTTACGTTTTGTTTGATATTTTCTTTATGGAAAAGGTTATTACTATTATTTTATATTTTATTAGTGTAGTATAGTATATAATGTGGCGTAATATACAATATAGTATTAATATACTGTATAATGTAGTATAGAATCTCATGAATTTTAAAATTTTTAAAAACATCACTAAATTTTTAATTTTACATTTTGTTTGATATTTTATTTGTAGGAATGGTTATCATTATTATTTTATATTTTATTAGTGTAGTATACTATAATGTAGTATAGTATATAATATAATATTAGTATACTATATAATGTGGTGTGGGATTTCATGAATTTTAAAATTTTTATGAACATCACTAAATTGTTAATTTTACATTTTGTTTGATATTTTCTTTATGGAAAAGGTTATTACTATTATTTTATATTTTGTTAGTGTAGTATACTATATAATGTGGCATAATATACAATATAGCATTAATATACTGTATAACGTAGTATAGAATTTCATGAATTTTAAAATTTTTAAAAACATCACTAAATTGTTAATTTTACATTTTGTTTGATATTTTAATTATAGAAAAGGTTATTATTATTATTTTATATATTATTAGTGTAGTATAATATAACGTAGTATAGTATCTAATGTAATATTAGTATACTATATAATGTGGTATAGGATTTCATGAATTTTAAAATTTTTATGAACATTACTAAATTGTTAATTTTACATTTTGTTTGATATTTTATTTATAGAAAAGGTTATTATTATTATTTTATATATTATTAGTGTAGTATAATATAACGCAGCATAATATATAATATAGTATTAATATACCGTATAATGTAATATAGGATTTCATGAATTTTAAAATTTTTATGAACATCACTAAATTATTAATTTTACATTTTGTCTGATATTTTAATTACAGAAAAGGTTATTATTATTATTTTGTATTTTATCAGTATAGTATACTATATAATGTAGCATAGTATATAATATAGTATTAATATACCGTATAATGTAGTATAGGATTTCATGAATTTTAAAATTTTTATAAACATCACTAAATTGTTAATTTTACATTTTGTCTGATATTTTAATTATAGAGAAAGTTATTATTATTATTTTATATTTTATTAGTACAGTATACTATATAATGTAGTATAACGCAGCATAATATATAATATATAATACAATATTAGTATACTATATAATGTGGTATAGAATTTCATGCTTTTCAAAATTTTTGTGAACATCACTAAAGAAATATCTAAATCTTTCCATAAAAATACGTGAAACACATTTGTTTTTTTTTTTTTTTACTATGCATTGTAATATATTCTGTCTTGGATACGTTTGTGTGTTACAAAATGTATACTATATAACGTAGCATAGTATATAATATAGTATTATATATACTATATAATGTAGTATACTTTTAAAATTCTTATGATCACTAATGATACGTAGAACAAATTTACCATTCTTTTTTTAAAATAAAAAGATTTTACTGTTATTAATGTTTCACTGTTTTACAATGTTTTAATCTTTCCACAGAAATGCCTGTTATTGATGTTTCACTCTTTTCACACAATGTTCTAATCTTCTCATAGAAATGCCTTCACTTGTCACCAACGATATCGGCTCATTATTGTTTGCTTTTATTGGAAAACCGATGCCAAAATTTCAATTGTTTGTTCGTCCTTCCACGTTTCCGTTTACTCCATTTTGCATTGGTCACCCAAACTCGCGCTTTATTCACGTGTTGGCTGTTGAGATATTTCGTTGCATCCATCAGCCTTCGAGTATAATAAAAATATGAAGTTTAATTTTTCTATTAATTTCGTATTACAGCAATACACAGCAATTACAGCACTACTGATATTTTAAGCTTCGTGAAGAATATCACACAACAGTCTATATTTGGTCCCATTTTAAAGCGTAACTTGAACAGTTCCAAAGTTTCTTTCCAAAGATATTTTTACATCACGCAGTGGGTGATGAAAAAGCAAAGATACTTTTATTCTTGAAGATTGTAAATACATTCTCTAAAAACGTTGAGGAAAATTTCCCTTTAATCCCCAATTTAATCCTTTGGGGCACTTAAAGTCACCCTAATCTAAACCTAAGCCAAAAGTCTGAAAGTTGAGTACAGAACGAAGAACACGTAACAAATAAAGAATACTTATCTCTAAACGTAAATCTTTCGATATTATTTGTTTGATATATCATCTTTCAATATATTCTATCATATACTAAATAAATTAATTAATTAATTAAGATCATTTGTATAGTATTGTACCTGTGATCAAACAATGGCCTTAATTGGCTTTAACAAACACTATTCATGATTCAATATTTATCGTAAGAGCAAACGTGTATACATACAACCTACGTCTAATTTTAATTTCACGTAAATTTCTAAATCACATTGCGCATGATGAATCTATAATTTTGCACCGTTTGCACGATATAGGTATATATTAACCGGGTAACGGTTATTATGAAAATGCAACATCTGCTCTGGCATCAAACTTTCGGTAATGAAGTTAATCGAGACGAGAACTGGCACCTATTACAGGCTAGCCAATGGTACGTTAATTATCCATATGACATTATGTAACTTGAAAGTTATGCATTTTTTGTATGTAGAGTTGTGTATTCGTATTTTGAAAATACTTGTTGCTTCGTTATTGTTAGGTAGCTATTATATTGTGTTTCATCGATCACGTCATCGCAGAAATGTCGAAGGACATATTTATGCTAATTGTTAATTAATTATTAATACGTTTTAATAATGTTACATTGTTTTATACTGTATCACTTATATACTATTATTACTATTATATATTATGTATTATATTGTATACTATATTAATATATTAGTATACATATTGTATACTATCTTACTATATTATATTACTATATTATATATTATGTAATTATTACTATAATATATTACTATATTACTATATTATATATTATGTATTATATTGTAATGTCGTATACGAAATTCTAGTTATAGAAAGAATACTAAACGACTTATTTATAACTTGTTATTAATTTTCAGAAATCTATAAATCTATAGTAATATTAATATTAAAATATAAAATATAAATGAATATATTATATTCAAATGATATTACATTATACTATATAGTTCTTTAAGTAAACGAAATTCTACTTATAGGAAAATATCAAATGATTTATTTATACATTGTCAAATATTAAATTAGATTAATATATGTAGTATTAAGCAACAAAAAAATATAATACAATTAATATAGTATACTGTAGTCAATAATTGTTATGAATAAATTGTCATTCGATATTTTTCTAGCAGGATTTCGTTCACTTGCTAGAAGAAAATGATTATTAAAACTATAATCAAATCTATACAATACCAGTTCTGAAATATTCCAAAAATAATTCTAATTTTGAAAAAGAAGATTATTTTTATTAATCCTTGACTGGATATTTGAAACTTTTTTAATTTGATTTAATTTCACTACTAATCGAATCTGTATCAGAAAAAAAAGTATAAAATACGAAATAAAATTAAACGACATAATTTTTTGCAACATAATATAAATTATTATAATTATATACCTGTATAACACCCACGATACTACTTAAAAGAACGTTCAAACGATCGCAATATATACTTTCAATATTTCAAAGTTCTCAACACTATCGTACGTGAAAACGACCAATATATATTGTCAATATTGATCGTCTGTGGATCTCTTACTTACGAAACTGTTGAGAACCCTGAAATATTGACAATACACAGGGTGCTCCAGCATTGAAGGTACAATCAAGACAAGATACCATGAAAGCACACGAAAAAAAAAAAAAAAAATTAAACGAAACGAGAAATAAAAATTTTTTTCATTCAAGCCATCAAGTTTTGGAGGAAATCAGGTTTGAAAGTTGATCAGGTGCACTTGAATTTCGCTAATTCTACACAAATCGACTCGCTAGAAAATCATTCTACCAATGAAAATAAATGAAAGATGTTGAGTAAAATTTCTTCATTCTCAAGAAAACAGGGTTTGAATATATTTAGTTAAACATTGGTTCAGGAGTTTCAAAAGAAAATGAGCTATCTGAGAAACGAGGTGTCTTGTGAAGAAAATTGTATTCCACAATTTGTCGACTTATTTTCACCGGCGGAATAATTTCTTGTTCATCCTGATCAATCCACAGTTTCCAGTACAGTTGATAAATTTTGATTGTTCTTGGAAACGAAGGACTCGAACGAAACGAACTCGTTTTTCTCCATTTAGCGTCGTTCCTTTGACACTGGGACACCCTGTACATGTCGATCTCCACGAGGGTTGAATTACGTTTCGCGTTAAAAATGTACAAATTCTTCTGAACGGCGGCGTACGCGTAATGTAAAAATAATTTCCTACTTTGAGATACGAAAGATAGGACTAATGAAAGCTCGATCGATAATAATGAAAGCAGTAAACACATGTTGTATCGGGTTAACGTTCAAATTGAAGATCTTGGACGAAATATCGACGAACGGAATTCTAACATGATGTCATGCATCTGATTCATACGTCTGATTTGTTCTTATCTCGTAAGCTCGAGCGCATCAA